TATTTGCTTAAGTTTGAATGAGGCTTGTGCATGCTGACTCCATTCTTGTAAGTTTGTATGAGAAGGGTCCCAGGTGCCTATAGGATAATATCTGTATGTTCATGGACCTATTCCTGGCTCTTACAATCTTTCTGCCCCCTCTTTCACAATAGTCCCTGAGCCTGGGGTGGGTGAATTTTAATGGGAGTCCTGTCCAAGGACCCACACTTGGCAGATTCTTATTCTCTTGAGTTTTGGCCAATTGTGACCTTCTGCATTCCTGGCCCTCTGTTGCATGAGGGAGCTTCATTGACGAGTTGAAAGATGGATTAGTGTTCTCTTCATCCCTGTTCTAAGTTCCGCGAACCTTAGGTGTAGAAGGTGTATGCTAGATGTGCCACTTAGACATGGGTAATTCAGAGACCAGCTATGTGTGACCATTTGTGGAACTATGTAACTACTTCTGTCTCTTGAGCATGTGATTTTTGCCTTTGAGTCCATTTATATGATTTATGATGTTTATTGACTTGCATATATTGAACCATCCCTGCATCTCTGGAATAAAGCCTACTTGATCATGCTGAATGATCTTTTTGATGTGTGTCTGTATGCAGTTTACAAGTATTTTGTTGAAGATTTTTGCACCATAAGGATATGGGTTTATATTTTTCTTGTTTTGTTGTGTTACCTGGTTTTGGTATTAGAGTGATAAGGCTTCATAGAAGGAGTTTGAGAGTTCTCTCTTTGTTTCTATCTCTTTGAATAATTTAAATTGTATTGGTTGCAGATCTTCTTTAAATGTCTGGTAGAATACTCCTGTAAATCCATCTGGGCCTAGGCTTTTTTAAGTTGGGAGATTTTATATTACTGTTTCAATTTCCTTATATGTTATGGGTCTCTTTAAACTGTTGATCTCTTCTTGTTTAGCTTTGGTGGCTCCCATGATTTCAGATATCCGTGCATTTCTTTTAGGTTTACAAATTTAATAGACTTTTAAGGTATTCCCTCATAATGTTCTGGATCTTTTGGATGTCTGTTGTGATGTTTCCCCTTTCATCTCTCAATTTGTTGATTTGGATTTGCTCTTTCTTTTGGTTAACTGGGCTAAGGGTTTGTCTATCTTGTTTAACTTTTCAAAGAACCAGCTCTTAGATTCATTGATTCTTTGTATTGTTTTCTTTGTTTCTATTTCATTAATTTCTGCTCTGATTTTTGTTATTTCTTCTTGTCTGCTGGGTTTGGGTTTCATTTGTCCTTGCCTTTCCAATATCTTGATTACAATGTTAAATCATTTATTTGTGCTCTTTCTGATTTTTTTTTAATGTTTCATTCCAGAAATACTTTTATTTCTTTCTTAATCTCTCCTTTGACAAGTCATCATTCAGGAAGTGTGTGGTTTAATATCCATGAGTTCATGTAGTTACTAGAGCTGCTTCCATTCTTAATTTTAAGCTTTACTGTGTTGTGGTCTAATAGAATGCATGGAATTCTTTCAATTTTTTTGTATTTGTTGAGGCTTGTTCTAGGCCCCAGTATGTGGTCAATTTTTGAGTAAGTTCCACAGTGTGATGAACAGAAAGTATATTCTTTGGTGCTTGGGTGAAATATTCAGTAGATGTCTGTTAGGTCCATTTTTAGGTCCAATTAATGGAATCATTTAATTCAGATTTCTCTCTGCTTATTCTTTGTCTGGTTGTCCTGTCTAATGGACACAGTGGGTTACTGAAGTCCCCTACTAGTTAGTACTGAATTGGAGTTAATCTGTGTCTTAAAGTCCTGTAGGGTTGATTTTATGAATCTGGGTGCACCAGAGTTTGGTGCATATATGTTCATGATTGCAATAACTTCTTGGTTAATTATTCCTTTATTCAAAATGAATCCCGTCTGATTAGTTTTAGTTTGTCTATTTCATCAGACAGAATTGCAGCCCCTACTTGTTTCTTAGTGCCATTTGCTTGAAATATTCTTTTTCATTCTTCACCTTAAGGTAGTGCCTGTCTTTGAAGGTGAGATGGGTTTCTTGCAAATAATAAAAAGATGTATTTTGTTTCTTAATCCAGTCAAATAGCCTGTGTCTTCTGACTGGGAAATCCAGTCCAGTGATATTTAAGGTTATTATTAAAAGATGTGTGTTGGGTGCCATCATTTTGATTAATGTTTGTAGTCTTTGTCTAATTCAATGTTACCACAATTATATCCCATTAAGTTTCTTTCTGTTACCCCTTGATATAGTCATTCCTTTCTTCAGCTCTTTTATTGCTTCAAGAACTCTCTGAAAGGCTGGTTTTGAGGACATGTATTCTTTCAGCCTATTCAAGTCATGAAAGATTTCTCTTTCCCCCTAAACTATAACAGATGTTTTTGCTAGGTAAAGGATTCTAGTTTGTCATCTATAGTCATTTAGAACTGGGAATATTTGGTCCAGGCTCTTCTGGCTTTCATAGTTTGCATTGATAAGTCAGCTGTAATTCTGATGGGTTTTTTCTTTTATATGTAACTCTTTTTGTTTTGTTTTGTTTTTTTTCAGCTTTCAGTATGCTCTCTTTGTTCTGCACATTTAGTGTTTTTACTATGATATGCTGTGGGACTTTTTTTTTCTGTTTCTATTTGGTGTTCTATGTGCTTTGTGTATTTGTATGGGGATGTAATTACCTAATTTGGGGAAATTCACTTCTACAATCCTGTTTAAAATCTGGTCAACATGGTTAACCTGAAATTCTTTTTCCTCTATGCTTATGATGTGTAAATTTAGACTTTTCATGGTGTCCTACATTTCCTGCATATTCCATCCCTGTGTTTTTTAAATTTTTGCATAATCCTTGCTTGAGTGGTCCAATTTTTCAACTTTAGCCTACAGTGTTGATATTCTGTTTTCTATTTCATTAATTCTAATAGTGAGGCTTTCTCCTGTTCTTTTAAATTGGTTTATTGAGTTTTTCACTTCCTTCTTCATTTCAGCCTATGTTTTCTTCAATATTTCTATCTCTTTTGTGAATTCCATCAGAAGCTTATCTCTATCTTCTTTTAGTTCTTTTGATTTGTTTGTGTGTCCTTTAAATTCAATGAATTCCTCGAACATTTTTATGAGTTTTTTTAACCTTAAAAAAATTTTATTGAGAATTTCAAACATGCATATAAGGTCTTTTGATCAAATACAAGCCCACTCCATCTCCTCCAACTCCTATGATTTTTCTTTTTTTTATTCTGTGTCCTGGATTATCACTGGGAGCTTCTCCTTGTAGACTGGTTGAGTTTGGAGGGAACATACTATTACAGTTTTCCATATTATTATCTTTCCATTGTGATTTTGGCATGTGGATTTCTCTTCTTTGTGATCTTGATATGAAATTCAGCCCTTCCTTTGTTGAGTTGAACTCTGCTTCTGTTTATATTATTGGTGTTACTTGGTTGTCTTCTTATTGGGTATATAAGGCTGGCTGGTCTAGGTTTCATGTTCTCTCAGATTTTATATTGGAGGGAAGTGATGGCTTCAGATCAGCTACTCAGGAGCTTCCACAGAGGCCCAAATCAGGCTCCAGTCAGGTACACTCAGGCTTCCCTCCGAAGTCTGGATGCATACTAGTGAGCACTCACAGCCCAACTTGGGAAGTTCACTAATGGGAGCGCAATTTAGGCCCTCTGAGGCAGTCTGCTAAGGTTTTAGCCTGCACTATGGGGTAGAGAAGTCTAACCCGAACCAAGTGGAGGGGCCTCACATCATCCCAATACAGTCAGCTGGGCATGGCTTTATTTTAGGAAGCTCACTACCACACAGAGGCTAGATCCAGGCACTCTCAGGCCTACATGGTTTTTTTATATCAAAGCATTATGTGGGTGCATGCATATCTATGTGTGCGGTATATGTGCACAAATGTGCCTGATGCATGTATGTGTTATGTAAGCTTGTTTTCTACATTATGGTGGTACTTGTACTACAACAGAGTAGGAAAATAGAACAAAAGAAGAAAGGACATGTGCTTCTTAGAAGAAAGTTCTAAATATGAATCAAAAGAAAGCAACTTTACATGGTAGAATGTCAAGGAGGATTTTACAATGAAACTCTACATAATAAATAAGACACAAAGAAAAGTATGTCCTACTAGAATAGTCCCAAAATGATGGAAACAAAAATGCCAACTCCAAAATACTGTAAAATGGATTGAAGTATAAGCATCAAAAGTCAAAATAACAAAACAATATTAATAAAGAAATAGCTAACAGAGCCTGGAGAGATGGCTCAGCAGTTAAGAGCACTGGTTGCTCTTATAGAGGACCTGGGTTTCGTTCCCAGCACCCACACAATAGCTCACAGGCATCTGTAACTCCAGTTCCAGGGGATCTAACACCTTCTTCTGACCTCTGTGGACATTGCACAACATGGGTCCACGTACATACATGCAGGCAATACATTCACACATAAAATAATAAAAATAAAATAATAAAAAGTTAAACAGTGCTGGGCATGGTGGTACAAGCCTTTAATGCCAGCACTCAGGAGGCAGAGGCAGGCAGATGTTTGTGAGTTCAAGGCCAGCCTGGTCTACATAGTGAGTTCCAGGACAGCTGGGTCTACAGGGAGAACCTGTCTCAAAAAGACCAAGACCAAAAAAAAAAAAGGTTAAATAGCTAAGAATGCTCACATTTAATTTATAATTGAGTATGAGTAAGAAAACCAGTTTGAAAGACATTACATGCTAATTTGATATCAATTTCAATTCTTTTTCTCAGTGATGATAGAAGACTGTGATTCATATGTTGTTTTAAAATCTTTAAGATAATATTTAAAAGAAACTAAATTTAAAATGAACCAGCTTTTCTAAATGCAAAAAAATGAAAATATATAGAATTTTATAAAGCATGTATGTTTCATGTAATTTTGTTTACAATAAGCAAAGCATGCCAATAGAAATGGGGTAGACTATAAGAATGTTTTCAGAATAATTTTATCATTATTAAATATGCTAGAGATTTTACAATATTGTGTGAAATAGAGCAGTATTATTTCCAATAACTTCTTTTACCTGTAATGTGAGACTCTTCACTGCATTCCACAATATTCCAATAAATTCTTTCATTCTTTCTTCAGGACTTCTGCAACCTTCAGGCACATGCAGCATGGCTTTAACAGGGACGGAGAGTGGTCTGGACTCTAAGTATCAGAATAGGCAGTTATTTAACCAAATTATACCATATAATTTCACAAAACTGTACTGAAAGTATTTTCAAGATGGTTTCTTTCTCTATTTAAAATGAGAGGATCTATAGGAGAATATAAATGCCATGTTAGTTTACTTTATTTTGTAGAATTGCTAATACTACCCATTATACTAAGCATTGATGACTGGGGTGTAGAATTCTGGAGTAATTGAAATGTTCTACTTATTGAGTATGTAGAGGTACTTATTTATTGAATATTCATTAAACTGCAAGTTTATTCAATTCTCATCATAAAATTACTAAGTCAATGAAAATTTTTCTACAAAACACTCCATTCATCCTAATGTCACAGAAAATGGGTCTTCCCATATGTGAAGTTTTCTGAAAGCAGTTACCTAGATCATAGAATTTCTCAATTAAAAAATATTTTCATGATGACCAAAAAAGGGAATCAAATGATATACATAAATGTCTTAATAAAATAATGTTGAAATTCTGTTATTTTAATCTTTGTCCAGAAAAATTACATAATTTCAAAAACCTTTACACTGTAAGATTTCAACAATTACTTTATAGTATTTAATAATTTCTAACAGCCAACAAATTATACATCTACTTTTATCTGAACGGAGTCATACATACTCTGGAACTTATGCTAATACAAACATAAAATTTATATATAAAGGAAAATGGGAAGAGAGGTAAGAAATATGGAGGAAAAAAGAAAGCTGTGAGGAAAGACAGATGAAGTGCTCAACAATTATTTATCCATCAAAAACACCAATTTTGGAATATATACAAAAAAAATTATAATTCAACCATTTAAATACGAAGTATAGTTCAAGGTATGACAAAAGATTTTAGTATATTTTAAGGTAGAAAAAACTAAAATTTGTGGTAAATACAAACAGGTTTTAAAAACAGTAAGTTTTAAGCCGGGCGTGGTGGTGCACGCCTATAGTCCCAGCACTTGGGAAGCACAGGCAAGTGGATCTCTATGAGTTCAAGGCCAGCCTGGTCTACATAGTGAGTTTCAGGACAGCTGGGGCTACAGGGAGACTCTGCTTCAAAAAGATTAAAAAAAAAAAAAAAAAACCTAAGTTTTAATGGGAATTTACCTATCATGCATACAAATGTTTCTGAAAATGAAAATGGGGGTGGGGAACACACAAGAAAACTTCACACTAAGTAAACTTTGAGGGGATAAATGAGAAGATGTGGTCAAGTACAGTGAATACTATTATTTCTACAGTGTGCATTTTGCTATAAATTGTTGCATAACAATTATCTGGAATGTGTTTTAAAATATATATTAATGTTATACTGATTAGGAGTTCTTTGGCTTTCCTTTCTATGTGTGTAGTTGTCAGAAGAAAGCAGCAACCTTAATACAAATTTCTACTAATTAATTAATTGCCTTAGCATAAAGAAAAACTTTAAACTTTCATGAAAAATGAACATAAAGGATTTTCAAAAAGCACAGTGGTCAAATTTTTAATCTGCTGAAAATATTATTACTATAGAACTCTTGTTATAATTTGAAATAAATCCATTTATTGAACGATAACATTACCAAGTGCACTATTACGCAATGATGGAACAGAAGTCACTAAATCAGCTACATGATTATTTAATAAAATGATCTAATAAAAAGTTTAGAGCCCTTAAAATGTGCCTCACACTTGAAGTTTAAATGTTATGCAAATAAAAAAACATAATTAACATTTATCCCTAAATAAAAATCTACTAGAGATACAAATTCATAATATTTTGGGTACATTATTCTTTCTGTCTCTCCATTTCTTTCTTTAATATTGTATTTATTATTTTTGTTTTATGTGTATGACGTATTGTCTGCATGTATCTAAGTGCACACATATTGTACAATGCCTGCAGAGGACAAAAGGGAATGTCAGATCTCCTGGAAACGGAGTTATGTAAAGTTGTTAGCTGCCATTTGGTACTGAGAATCAAACTCGAGTCCTCTATAAGAGCACCTAGTGCTCTTAGCCATTGAGTCATCTCTCCAACCCTGTCTTCTTCCCTTTGTCCCTGCCTCCTGCATCCCCCTTCCATAAGACAGGTTCTCATGGCTGTGAACTACCTAACAGTGTAGAACAGGCTGGCTGGGAAGCAACAGAGATCTACCTGCCTCTGGCCCCGAGTTCCAGGAATGAAGGCACACTCCCAACTGGCTGGTTATACTATTTTCAATCTGTCATATTTTCTAAAAGATAACAGAATATTTTTGTGGGACATAAGAAAATATTCTCTGTAATTTGGCATATTTTAATAGGAAGGATAAGTATATTGCATAAATGTCTGCTAATCATGCTCCACATTTTCTTAACTGAAACTTCTCCAGCACCTATTACATATACAAATAATCACCCATTCAAACCTTTAAACAACCCACTAGGAATACACTCATCAAGATTTCCAGACCATAAAAAACAGACCAGAGAAAGAGTTTAATTTACTTATCCAAATTCAACCAGATAAAAGGTAACAACAGAAAGGTGTGAACCTAAACAGTGTATCTCCAGAGTCCATCCTTTTAATTAATATGCTGTATTGGCTTTTCCATTATTCAAATGTTGCACAATGACCTCTAGCTCTGTCAAATGCATAATAAATATACTTGTATCATATCGCAACTTCAGAAAACAGATTTACTTATTCCTTTAATTCTCAAATATAACTCATTTTCTTATTTATTGATTTAGGACTTTGAATATAAATGCACGTTGAATTTTGTCAAAGACCTTCTTTGCATCTATTGAGATGACCATGTGGTTCTTGTCTTTGAGTTCATTTATATGATTTATGATGTTTATTGACTTAGTATATAGAACTATCCCTGCATCTCTAGAATAAAGCCAACTTAATCATGGTGGATGATCTTTTTGATGTGTGTCTGTATGCAGTTTCCAAGAATTTGGTTGAGAATTTTTGCATCTATGTTCATTAAGGATATGGTTCTATAGTTTTCTTTTTTGGTTGTATCTTTACCTGGCTTTGGTATTAGAGTGATGCTGGCTTCATAGAAGGAATTTGGAAGTTTTCCTCCATCTCTTTCTTTTTGAATAAATTAAGTTGCATTGGATATAGATTGTCTTTAAACTTCTGGTAGAATTCTGCTGTAAATCCATCTAGTCCTGGGCTTCTTTTAGTTGGGAGGTTTTGTACTACTATTTCAATTGCCGTATGTGTTATGGGTCTGTTTAAGCTGTTGATCTCTTCTTGGTTTGGTTTTGTTGGTTCCCATGCTTTTATATACCCGTCCATTTCTTTTAGGTTCTCAAATTTGGCAGTGCATAGGTTTTTAAAGTATTCCCTTACAGTGTTCTGGATCTTTTTGGTGTCTGTTGTGATGTTTCCCCTTTCATCTCTGATTTTGTTGATTTGGAGGCACTCTTCCTTTTGGTTAACTGGGGTAGGGGGGTCTATCAATCTTGTTTATTTTTTTAAAGAATCAGCTCTTCGATTTACTGATTATTGGTACTGTTTTCTTAGTTTCTATTTCATTAATTTCTGCGCTGATTTCTGTTATTTCTTCTTGTCTGCTGGGTTTGTGTTTCATTTGTTATTGCTTTTCAAGTGTCTTGAGTTGCAATGTTAAGTCATTTATTCCTTAATCATGTTTATGACTGTTTTAAATTCAGTGTCCTGGGTTAGCTCTAGGGGGTTCTCCTACCTGTTCTTCTACAGGTTGGTGGATTTGGTGGGGACACAGTGTTTTGGCTTTCCATTTTATCATTTTTATGTTGTGATTTTGGCATGTGAATTTCTTTTGTTGTTTATGATTCTGATATGAGAATTAAGTTGAAGTATGCTTCTGTTTGTATTATTTGGGTGCCTAGATCCTTTCTTTATTGGTTAGGTAAAGGTGATTGGTATAGGGTTCAGGTTCCCTCAGGTTTAATTTAGAGGGAACTGATGGCTTCAGATCAGCTATTCAGTAGTACCCACAGAAGCCCAACTCAGATTCCAGTCAGGTACACTCAGGCTTCCTTCACCATGTAGAGGCAGGATCTGTGAACTCTCAGGCAATCCACCCTCTCAGGTCATCTACTAGGATCTCAGCCTTCCCCTATTAAAGCCAAATCTGCCCTGGGGCTTTGGGAGGGGCCTCACAAAATTCCAGGTAGGGGGTTGGGCATGGCACACTTAGGGGAAGCTCTCCACCAAGTGTAAGCAGGATCCAGGGCTCTCAGGCAGTTCCCTCCATTCTAGCCCCTCTTTCAGACAGAGGCCAGAGGTAGGCCAGAACTTGGCACTCTTTGATGGGCTGCTGAGATCAGAGCCACTACACCAATGGAGTTCACAACCCACCCTTTCAGGCTAGGATTGCAGCCTTAGCCTACCAAAGCCAGATCTGCCCTGGGGCTTTGGGAGGGATCTCACAAAATCCCCTGTAGGGGGCTGGGAATACTTTGGTCTAGGCTCTTCTGGCTTTCATAGTTTGCATTGATAAGTCACCAGTAATTCTAATGGGTTTTCCTTTATATGTGATTTGTTTTTCTTTTGCAGCTTTCAGTATTCTCTCTTTGTTCTGTAGGTTTAGTGTTTTTACTATCATGTGCGTGGAGAGTTTCTTTTCTGGTCCTGTTTGGTGTTTTATATTCTTCTTGTATTTGTACGGGAATGTCTTTCTTTGATTTTGGGAAATATTCTTCTACAATCCTGTTGAAGATCTGGTCCATATCATTATCCTGAGATTTTGTCCTTCCTGTATGCCTATGATTTATAAACTTGGTCTTTTTATGGTGTCACATAATTCCTGCATATTCCATTCTTGTGTTTTCTTAAATTTTTCATAATCCTTCCTTGAGTGGTCTAATTAGTCCACTTTATCTTCCAGTCTTGATATTGTTTTCCATTTCATTCATTCTATTGGTGAGCGTTTCTCCTGTTGTTTCTAATTGGCTTACTGTTTCACTTCCTTCTTCATTTCAGCCTGATAATTCTTCAATATTTCTCTTTTCTGAA